ATCCATCGCACGCAATCCTAACGCGGGGTGGTGATCGAAGTGTTGGGGCCCACTGGTCGAGGAGCCAATCAACAACCATGATACCGGCCAGTAGGCCAATCAGTTCACTCCGGTACGCGCTCTGGTCATCAGTTAGACCTGGAGTCTGGCACCGGACGATAATACGTTCCTTGCCCTCCTTACGTGGAAGCAGTTGAACCGCAACCGTGCCCAGACCGAGCTTATAAGAACCGTCGCTGATCACACACAGCCGGTCGTCGAGGAGGGCTTCAGCAAGGAGGCTTTCGTCGCCATCGATCTCAATTTCTTCAGGGGTCCAGCCAACATACTCGGTCACCCTGGCTGAGGCGGCCATCCAGGCGGCCAGCAAAGACGGTTGAGAGTCGTGATGCGGCTGCGGCGGTGCTGTCCCAATGCCGGTGAGGGCTAGAGTGCCTAGCGAAGGCGTAATGTGGACGGTAGCTCGGCACAAGTCAGCTGGGAGTGGTTGGGTCCAAAAGGGGGCTGGCAAGAAGCTGGCGCCGTTGGCGGTATGCTCGTTATGTGGTCGTTTGCACCCGGACAATTGCGTAGAACGAGGATAGTCCCATTGGATGCTCCGTGTGGAGGAGCGACGGTGACGGTAGTGTTGCCACCCGTGGCCCTGGCGGTGGAACAATCCGTGGGTAGAAGACCATAACCAGTTCCAGTTGTCGAGAGGATCGATCCATGGGCCCAGAGGATGACGCAGTAGGCGCTGGGGTCCGTCAGAGACAAGTAGTGCTCGAGTAAGGTGTTCCTGCCACACCTTCCAGTGGTTCCTGTTGGGCCGGACAGTGCGAGGCCATTGATATGACGACCGATGAGCGTAGTCACGTTCCCCATGCCACATGGACTCTCGTATGCTGCGGCCATCGGCCGTCACGATGTCGGAGACGGTGCAAACTTGGAGGAACATACGGCACCAGTTGAGCCACTTTAGAGCGTCCTGATCCACTTCCAACTCCATGAATACCTCAATGAGCAAGGCATCGCCTTCGCACCGGAGAGGAAGGACAGGAGAGTCAAGGGCAACGTATATCCAAGTCCTCCAACTCTTTCCAGACTCTTTTGAGCCAAGTATCTGACGCCAAATTGCCGTGTTGCTATAGTCCTGCTGGAAGAGTCCAAAGGAGGTGCCGGTCTCAAGTTGGTGTTCTTGAACCGCAGCCTCCAGATACGCCCCAGTTTTTGTTCGGTTGGACAAGTGGCGAAGCAGGACCTCAATATGTTTAGACACCTGAGTACCAAACGGATGAGGGATGCCCAGACCCTGGAATTTGAGAGGAGCAAGAACCATGTCACGAGGAAAGCTCCTACATATGCCGGCCTTCGGCAGGCAGACTTGGAGAACAGGACTCATAATTGACACCCATGTCGCAGCATCCAGTGTAGTTAACACCATAGGATATTCCAGGGATTTCATCACTGTTGTCTTGATCAGGGGAATGACATCGTATTTGTGTAGATGCCCCGATCACACTTGCTCAGCCCACTTTTTGGCGATACTCTTGAGATGGGCGACGCGTGCCTGTTGATCTTCCAATTGGGCCAACATGACCCCCAAGGTTTTCTCTGCCTCATCCGGCTCCAGACGGCGTAAGGCTTCCAATTCGCCAGTCAGTCCAGGTATTTGTAATGAATGATCCGGTAGAAGTTGGTGCGTCCGGCGGAACCTCCATTTGCCCTCTCTGGAGTCCCACACAAAGTCAATCAACCACCAAAAGGACTTTTCTGGGTTAATTGCCCCTCCAGTAGCACTAATGCCTCCAGCCCACGTGGAAGCCGCTTGTTGGACGGAGTGGCATATATCCTCGCCAGATTGTTCCACGGACTTGCCCGCTTCGATCACATCCGTGTCGTCGACGAAGCAGAAGCACTGAGCGGTGATCAGTTGAGAATCAATCGCGGTGAGACATTCGAAGCCGAAGCCCATCGCGGTCATCATCTGGATGATGACGGAGCTAACCGAAACCCAAATGGGCGGGCCCGCTCCGTTGCCCTGGCCGCAACCCTGAAATGGTACCATGGAAGGGGGATGAAAGCTCTCTTCAGAGTCACCAAAGCCTGTCCGCACTCGGTGCGTGGACGTTGCGAGAGTGTCAAACATCATGCGCAACGCATTCCAAGTAATCGCCAGGCGCATCATAGCTAACACCGCAACCCAATGGACGACCCGATCAAAACACGACTTTGCGTCATTTGAAATCCACCCCGCAGAGCGGCGCTGGAGAATCAGAAGGTCCCACACAAGACGTTTAGACAGGGCAAGATCGATCGCTTGATGGTGCTTTCTAGACCCGCACTGTCCATCGGC